GATTACAACCATGAGCCACCATTCTCAGCAAGGGCATGTACATTTTAAAGTTTAACATGTGCTGCCAAATAACCCTTCAAAAGAGTTGTACCAATCCATATTCCCAGTGATAGTGTATGAGTATACCCACTTCTTCACATTCTTGCCAACAATAGGTACTGTGTAAACGTTTTCCCTTGTTTTCTAGTTTGACAGATGAAAACAGTACTTCATTGTTATTTGTACATATATATATATATATTTTTTTTTTTTTTAGACAGGGTTTTGCTCTATCACCCAGGCTGGAGAGCAGTGGTGCGATCTTCCGCTCAGGGCAGCCTTGACTCCTGGGCTCAAGCAAGCCTCCCACCTCAGCCCTTAAAGTAGCTGAAACTACAGGTGCTTGCCACCACACCCCGCTAATGTTTTGTTGTTGTATTTTGCTTGTAGAGATGGGGTTTCATCCACCTGGCTTGGGCTCCCAAAGTGCTGGGATTACAGGCATGAGCCACCACTCACAGCCTTTTTACATACATTTCTTTATTATTTATATGGTAAATATACCTTCATGTGTTTAAAAGCTAAAAACAGCCGTGGGGGTCGGGGGAAAGGATCACTTCAGGTCAGGAGTTTGAGACCAGCCTGGCCAACATGGCAAAACCTGTTTCTGCTAAAAATACAAAAATTAGCCAGGCATGGTGGCATATGCCTGTAGTCCCAGCTGCTCGGAAGGCTGAGGAAGGAGAATCGCTAGAACCCAAGAGGTGGCGATTGCAGTGAGCTAAGATCACGCCACTGCATTCCAGCCTGGGCAACAGAGCAATACTTCCATCTCAAAAAAAAAAAAAAATGCCAAAAATAGTCTTTTTTTTAAAAATTACTAAGATCTTCTGTGAATTCTATTTATTTTACTAATATAAGAGCCTTAGGTATTTTAGAAATATTATCAGCCAGGTGTAGTAGCTCATGCCTATACCACATAATCCCAGCACTCTGCGAGCTATGGTTAGGGGATCTCTTGAGCTCAGGAGTTCAAGATCAGTCTGACTGGGGAACACAGCAAGACCTCACCTCTAGAAAAATTTTAAAAATTAGCCAGGTGTAGTGGTGTGTGCCTGTAGTCCCAGCCACTCAACTGTCTGAGACAGGAGGATCACTTGAGCCTGGGAGATCGAGGCGGTTCTACTGCACTCCAGCCTTGGCGATAGAGCAAGAGTATGTATCAATTAAAAAAAAGAAAAGAAAAGAAAAAAGGCTAAAATTCTCCCTGTCTTCTCTTTTGAAAAATAATGAAAAAAAAATTACTCATTTGACATCATGATGCAAACATATTTTCTCCCATTTTGTTGTTTTCACTTTGCTTATGCTGCTTGTTGGCAGCATAATTTTTAGTTGGTTTAACTTTCTTTTTAGCAAGTCAAATTTAACGAAATCTTAGCCCCGTTTATGTTAGAATATTAAAGACATAAATGTAAAGGCTCAGTCCCAATTAGTTTTAGAGCCAAACAATCAAAATCACCACTCCACTACTGACAATCATTTAGAATTAGTCATCTGGTTCTAATTACAGAAAAGAATGCAGGTACCCACTAGTTACCTATACATTCAATTAACAATAGTCTACTCTCCAAACCACATATAGATTGAGTATCTGTTATATGAAATCCTTGGGACCAGCCATGTTTCAGTACTGGGGTTTTTTTTTTTTTTTTTTCAGATTTTGGAAAAATACAAACTGGTTTAGCATGCCAAATCTGAAAATCCAAAATCCAAAATGTTCCAATTAACACTCCTCCTTTGAATGTCATGTTGATGTTCAAAAATTTCAGATTTTATAGCATTCTGGATTTTCAAATTAGGAACAAATCAATCAGTAGGTACACAGTTCCCCCAGGTTGTATGATTAGACTTTTGACTTGATTTTTTAAAATAATATTCCATTTTCCCATGGGGATCCCACTCCTGCTCTAAACCCCAAACTACTTGGCTGGTTACCTGACAGCCCGTTCTTCTTCTCAAGGATGGACTCTTTCGTATGGTTTCACTGTTATCTGGAAACCTAACTCAAAATAAGCAAAACTCCAAAACATACTAGCCGCTACCTGATGGCTCATTATCATCACTACCTAGAGACTTCCGTTACCACGGCCCACCCGCTTTCTGGATACTGACCTAAATTTACTAAGCCACCTTGAGCATTGTAATTTTTTTTTTTTTTTTTTGAGACGGAGTTTCGCTCTTGTTACCCAGGCTGGAGTGCAATGGCATGATCTCGGCTCACCGCAACCTCCGCCTCCTGGGTTCAGGCAATTCTCCTGCCCCAGCCTCCTGAGTCGCTGGGATTACAGGCACACGCCACCATGCCCAGCTGATTTTTTGTATTTTTAGTAGAGACGGGGTTTCACCATGTTGACCAGGATGGTCTCGATCTCTTGACCTCGTGATCCACCCGCCTCGGCCTCCCACAGTGCTGGGATTACAGGCTTGAGCCACCGCGCCCGGGCGAGCATTGTAATTTGTACTGCTAGTCAAATGACCTGAGCAGAAGCTCACATAGAATAGTAAATAAACCAAATGTAACGTATTATTCCTTTATTTTACTGGGAATCTGTTCTTCCTATTTACTTCTTTTCCCCCACCAGCCATTTACAGCTGTTGGCATACTTCATGGTACAAGGTGGCCTGGTTTATGAAAATTAGCATTTACAATGTCATAAGCACAATCACCAGAATTCTAACTGTGAATGTCACATACATAAAGCCAAATGAAAGAAAACAGTTTAAAAGGATACCTTTTAATAACATGAAGAAAAAAAATTCAAAACGACATACCTATACAACTATATCCTATCATTATTTCAGTACTTCACGGAATAAAAAGTTTGCCTATATAATTTCCTTGAGTAGCCCACAAAATGTTTATCACTCCTTTCCTTAACTACCATTGTATTAATGAAAGACATCTGATGTCAATGACCAAAACTACAGCATTAATGCTTAGCGCTAGGTTATATTACTTAACTTTTTCGTTTTCTTTAATCCAACATCTTCAAGTCCTAAGTAATTATTTTTTTTTTGGGAGACAGTCTTGCCTATTGCCCAGGCTGGAGTGCAGTGGCATGATCTCGGCTCACTGCAACCTCCGCCTCCTGGGTTCAAGTGATTATTCTGACTCAGCCTCCCGAGTAGCTGGGACTACAGGCATGCACCACCATGCCCGGCTAATTTTTTGTATTTTTAGTAGAGACAGGGTTTTACCATGCTGGCCAGGCTGGTCTCGAACTCCTGACTTCAGGTGATCTGCCCGCCTCAGCATCCCCAAGTGCTGGGATTACAGGCATGAGACACCATGCCCGGCCCATAAGTAATTTTGAAACTAATCTTGTTCATACCCCAGGACATTCCCATGCAAAAAAACAAACAAACAAAAAAAACTTTTTAATTAAAAATGTCAAATCAGGCCAAGCGCAATAGCTCACACCTGTAATCCCAATACTTTGGGAAGCCGAGGTTGGCGGATCACCTGAGGTCAGGAGTTTGAGACCAGCCTGACCAACACAGCAAAACCCCATCTCTACTAAAAATACAAAATTAGCCAGGCATGCCTGTAATCCCAGTACTCGGGAGGCTGAGACAGGAGAATCACTGAACCTGGGAGGCAGAGGTTGCAGTGAGATGGCACCATTGCACTCCAGCCTGGCAACACAGTGAAACTCCGTCTCAAAAAAAAAAAAAAAAAAAGTCAGATCGACAGCCAGAAAAAAAAAAAACCTATATGCTGACCACAGCATGTACTTAGCAAAGACCATTTCCTTAAAGAAATGGAGCACAAGTTCACCTTTAATTGCTTAACAACCTACAAACTATACTGTATTGGAGCTGATTTTATGAAGTATCAAAGTATTACCACTCTGGATCAGGAAAAAGTACCTAGAAAGGACATTATTAGGTTTTCAACTAGAGGCGATTTGCCCCTCACCAGGAGGCACCCTTGGTTGTCACACTAGAAGAAGGAAGAGGACCACAAGCTGCTGGTATCTAGGGGTTAGGGATGCTGCTAAATATCCTATAATGTACATAATAGCCCCCGACAACAAAGAATTATCTGACCCATAATGTCCACAATGATAAGGTTGGGAACCTGGGACAAATGATGAAATGTGAATATAAACTTCATTGTATCAACGTTAAATTTCCTGAATTTAATAATTTTTCTGTGGCTTCATAAAACAATAGCCTTGCTCTCAATACACATCAGAGTATTTAGGAATAAAGGAACATGTCTCAACCTACAACTGACTCAGAAAATAATATGTCTACATATAGTAGGAAAGAATGAATCATAAAGTAATAGGGCAATATGCTAATAATTGGTTAATCTGAGTAGAGTATATGCAGAAATTTTCTTTTATTATTCTTGCAGTTTAAAACTATACCAAAATTAAAAGTTAAACAAGTATTATCAAGCCCATAAATTTATTTTACCTGGGAAACTTTGCACAATTTCCCAATGCATATGTGCAATATAGCAAATCAGCTTTCTTTTATTCCTTTCTCAAAATAAATTACCCTATCTTCAATAGATACTTGCAAATTGAACCCAAATAACTCAAGCTGAAAATATATTTTCTAAAATGTGAACTGCACAAAGTTAGAAATGCTTAGATGTCTACCAAGGACATGACATACTATTGCATATTACAGTAAACTCATGGCCAATATACCTGCGTTGTATATTTTGGGCTTTCAGTACACACTGAAATCATTTAGAACCACATAAGATGTGAACATGATCAGTGCAAAAGGATATACAAGAAATAATACAAAAAGATTTTTTAAGACTCAGGTTTTCTTAAGTTTAACATTAGTTCTGAATTTTTGAATTTTATCATTCCTATTTTTGGGCAATTATTACTTAAACAGCATGCAACAAATTACAATAACAGCTTCATAAATAACAGTTTACTTTTGGAAGACAAGTCTTTAAATTTGTAAATCCAGGAAAAATTTAGGGAACTTACAGATGTTTGGGACATACTTGACTGTTGTGTGACACTTCCTGTAGGAGATGTAGATGGTCTTCCACTGGACAAACTTGCCTAAAATAGTAAGACTTTTATAATACGTCGGTAAAAACCTCAAGTTAAGAACTTTCTGGTACCATGGTAACACAAAACCACAATAATAAATGTCAAAAGGCGTATGTACGAAACAACTCATTTTACAGTCAACATAGCTTAAGCTTTGGTTAAACAGATTTTTTAAATAAGAAAAAGCTGAATGGTGAAAACAGAGGATCCAAAGACTAATTTTATTAGCTACTTTATTGTCAGTTCCACTTTATGGGTCTGTGTCATCTTTAAAGTGGAATCACTACTCCACGTTATGAAGAAAAAGTTAGAGCTACAATAAGAGTCAACAAGAGTCAGTGGGTTTCAGTTTCCTAACTTGTATCATGAAAATGTTATTTAAAATTACACTACTAAGAAGCAACAGCTGAGAATCTGTTGGTAACAGAAATAAACCTTTTTCAGGTTCAGTCAACTGAGATCCTCCTCTGGTGAGGAGATTTAAGATTAAATCTTACACAGTTTTATTTAAATAGTACAATAATAAAAATATTTTTTACAAACAAGCTTTTAATAATGAAATCCTGTTATCAGTAGGAATAATACAATTAGATTTTAGAAAGATGGATTTACACATCTTTGTATAGAAAATTCACGGAGAAATACGTATTAAATTGTTACAGTGACCACCTCTGAAGAATGAGAAACAGTGGTAGGCAAGGAAAAGGAACAGCTTTGTCTCTTATGAGCAATTTAATAGTTTCATCTTTTTAATGAGCATAAATACATCATTTTTTAATCTTATTTTTAGTAAAAATATAATTTATGTAAGCCTAAGTATTCACTGTTGTACCTAGAACTTTATACACCTAACCAAACCACTAGCATAGCATTTCTCCAATTTGGATAAAAACCACTGAGATAAAAGCTAGAAACAGAGTAACATAAAAAACATATTCCCTTTTTCTAAATTGGCAATCTAGTAATATATTTCCTTCAGGAAAAATAGCCACAGGCATCTGAGAATTCTGAAATAATACCCAATGTATTTGTTTTCAGTAACTACCTACAGATAACAGAAACTTTGGTCTCATAAATTCTTAATTTATTTGAGTCTTACCTGAACAGCAGCAAGGCTCTGAAGCTGGCTGCTGCTTAAATGCTGCTGCTGAAGAGCTGCAGTATGCAGCATCAAGTGCTGCTGTTGGGCTGCATACATTTGCTGAAGATACTGAGCAGCTGAGCTGGGGGGCCGATGTAATGCCTGTTGAATCACCTGTGATAGGTCAATTGAACCAATGTCAATCCACAATCTCAACCTTCATCTTAATCAGAAAATGAAAGTATAAAAAAGTGGCAGTTTAAAATTTCACTGCTCTGACACATAATATCATCAAGCTTATTAACATACTTCTTTCCTAGTTACATATGACTAGGAATCACTAACTTGTATGCATTAAAACTACCCAGTGGGACAAGCATGGTGGCTCATGCCAGTAATCCCAGCACCTTGGGAGGCTGACGTGGGTGGATCACAAGGTCAGGCGATCTAGACAATCCTAACACGGTGAAATCCCATCTCTACTAACAATACAAAAAATTAGCTGGGCGTGGTGGCATGTGCCTGTATTCCCAGCTACTGGGAGGCTGAGACAAGATAACTGCTTGAACCCAGTAGGCGGAGGCTGCAGTGAGCTGAGATTGTGCCACTGCACTCCAGCCTGGGCAGCAGAGCAAGACTCTGTCTCCAAAACAAAAACAAAAACCCAGTGGACAATTCACAAAAGACAGGCCAAATAAGCATGTCAAAAGATTTTCAATCTCATCAGTAGTCAAAAACTTACAAATTAAAACAAGATACTATTTTCCAACTTTCAGATGGATAAAGATTTTAAAAAATACTACTAACTGGGGAAACCAATACTCCCGTACTGCTAGTAAAAATTTAAGTTGGCATAAGCTTTTTGGGTAAAACTTGGTAGAATTCAGGGCTTGGGTGTGGAGAGATATACCTTTACCATGCAGCCATTACAAACAGTAATGTAAATCAGTGCTGTCCTATACAGGAGCCATTAGTCACATGTGCCTACTAAAAATGTGACTGGTGCAACTAAATAAGTTAAATTTTAAATTGAACTTTTTTAATTTTAATGTAAATAGCCACATGTAACTAGCGGCCACCATAAACTACAAAACGTTGTTGATACAGATCTATATTTACTAACAAAAAAAACACAGTAGGTTACAAAACAGTATATAATGTATCATTTTTATATTAAAATATTTGAAACACTACACAAGAAAACTTTCAAAGGGAACTAGCTTCTAGTTCATACTTTTCTATAAATGTCTGAATATCTTACAATGAGTAGATATTTATTAATTATCACATAAAATGATAAAGCAGCTGGGCACGGTGGTTCATGCCTATAATCCTAGCACTTTGGGAGGCCAAGGCAGGCAGATCACCTGAGGTCAGGAGTTCAAGACCAGCCTGGCCAACATGATGAAACCCCATCTCCACTAAAAATACAAAAATTAGCCCAGCGTGGTGGCATGCACCTTGTAATCCCAGCTACTCAGGAGGCTGAGGTGGGAGAATTGCTTAAACCCAGGAAGCAGAGACTGCAGTGACCGGAGATCACACCACTCTACTCCAGCCTAGACAACAGAGCAAGATTCCGTCTCAAAAAGTAAAAAGAAAATAATTACAGTTATTTTAGAAAATTAATAATTATTTTTAGAAATTTTTTAAATGTCAAATACCCTGTTTTGTTTCAATGTTGAATACAACTATTCTTACTTAAAAAATTCCTGGCTGGGCGCGGTGGCTCACGCCTGTAATCCCAGTACTTTGGGAGGCCGAGGCGGGTGGATCATGAGGTCAAGAGATCGAGACCATCCTGGTCAACATGGTGAAACCCCGTCTCTACTAAAAATACAAAAAATCAGCTGGGCATGGTGGCGCATGCCTGTAATCCCAGCTACTCAGGAGGCTGAGGCAGGAGAATTGCCTGAACCCAGGACGCGGAGGTTGCGGTGAGCCGAGATTGCACCATTGCACTCCAACCTGGGTAACAAGAGCAAAACTCCGTCTCAAAAAAAAAAAAAAAAAAATTCCTATGCTAGAGATAGGGGGGTTTGGAATTAAAAAGAAAAAAAAAAAAAAAAACAGAAAAAAGAAAAAAAATTCCTTAAAAAAGTGTTAATTATTGTGAATATTAGAAAAATGTAAAATCTGAGCCTGAAACTTCATAAATAAATATAGAAATGTTAAGTACTCTACTAAAATCAGAGAAAATTCCTACACTTGTCCAAATGGTAAGTCAGGATAAGTCAATCCTACACAACCACATCCAAAAGTCATAGTGTGCTGCTTCCTGTGACTCTGAAACAGCACAGGATCCTAATCTCAGCATCAAATCAGAGTTTTCAAAGAGCTAAGGAAGCAATAGAGCCATAATCCTCTAGCTTAAGGGTCTAAATCAGGACATCTTGAACCGTAATCCTTTTATCTAAATTTCAAGAGAGCATATTTCTGTGTTATTGTTTACTTTCATGTGTTAATATCTCATCTCTCTAGCTACAGACTGCTATGCCTGATACAAATTTCTATCACAAAATCAATGGGAGCTTTTGACCCCTACCTGCAGGGGACTATAGGCCAGATTAAGTGATTCAGAATTATAACAATATATCTTTTTTAGTCAGATCAATCTCTATTTGTTCTTCTAATTCCATAACAAAATTCTAAAATCATTGGACTTGGCAGTTACATGGAAAAAAAATTCTAAGATCAAACTGAAATAACAATCTATTTGATACATATTTTTGTCACAGTATAGTCATTTTTTTCTGTTGTCAGCAGTCTTTCACTATCATTCAATGTTATACTCATAACACTGAGTAAATACAAGTTGTAGGTACAGCACATTGTTCTTATTTATTATAAATTCGTATTTGCCCAAGGAGGGTGAAGAGAATTCCCAGGACTGAAAAATAAAGCTGGAAGATTAAAGAATTACTTAGGTAGTTCAATAAATATTGATTTGATTGCATTTTGGGAGAAGCAATTCTATGGTCTCCTAAGAACAAGAGTTAGTGCTATTAATGAGATATACCTACATCTACATAGCTTTCTATTTCCTTTTTATTAATCTATGCAGCTTAATTGAAAACTAGAGAACAAAACGGTATATTAAGCTATCACTTATCAGTCAGGCGTGGTGGCTCATCCCAGCACTTTCGGAGGCCAAGGCAGGAGGTCAGAAAGGTCAAGACCAGCCTGGGCAACACAGCGAGGTTCTCTCTACAAAATACAAAAATTAGCCAAGCATAGTGGCATGTGCCTATAGTCTCAACTACTCAGGAGGCTGAAGCAAGAGGATTACTTGAGCCCAAGGGGTCGAGGCTGCAGTGAGTGGTGATCGTGCCACTGGACTCCAGCCTGGGCAACAGAGAGAAAGAGAGACTGTCAAAAACAAACAAAAAAACAACAATGAAAAAAACTATCATCTATATGCTTAAAGATCTAAATCCTGGCCAAGCACGGGGTGGCTCACACCTGCAATCCAAGCACTTTGGGAGGTCAAGGCAGGTGGATCACGAGGTCAAGAGTTCAAGACCAGCCTGGCCAATATGGTGAAACCCCATCTCTACTAAAAATACAAAAATTAACTGGGCCTGGTGGCACCTGTAGTCCCAGCTGCTCAGGAGGCTGAAGCAGGAGAATTGCTTGAACCGGAAGGCAGAGGTTGCAGTGAGCCAAGACTGCGTCATTGCACTCCAGCCTGGGTGACAAAGCAAGACTCCATCTCAAAAAAAAAAAAAAAAAAAAGATCTAAATCCTCTTCCCTATATCCCTTGCCTCAGAGAAAGGTAAAAAACATCAGGCCGGGCGCGGTGGCTCACGCCTATAATCCCAACACTTTGGGAGGCTGAGGTGGGTGGATCACGAGGTCAAGAGATCGAGACCATCTTGGTCAACAAGGTGAAACCCCATCTCTACTAAAAATATAAAAATTAGCTAGGCATGGTGGCACGCACCTGTAGTCCTAGCTACTCGGGAGGCTGAGGTAGGAGAATTGCTTGAACCCAGGAGGCGGAGGTTGCAGTGAGCCGAGATCACGCCATTGCATTCCAGCCTGGGTAACAAGAGCAAAACTCCGTCTCAAAAAAAAAAAAAAAAAAAAAAAAAAAAAACAACAACAAACAAACAAAAAAAAACCACATCAAAAGCTCTCTCTGCATTCAAGTTTGAATTACTGGTGAACTGGCTGGTTCCACTCCATAGTGACTACAGAAAACTAAACCCTAAAACCATAAACCCTAAACCATAAAACAGTTAAATAGATATTATACTGGAGTATCCACCATACAACAATGGAGCAGAGGTATGACTATATTGCAAGCAGTTGTTTTCACGGTAGATGCAATTATAAGGATTCTAGTGAATGAAAGCAGGTATAATAGAAAAAATAAGAATTCACAGAGTGGTTAAGAGCACAAAGGCTGAAGTCTGAGAACCAGCTAGGTGAGTTTGGGAAAGTTATTTAGCCAATTTAAAACATTTACTTTCCCATCAGTAAAATGGAGATAGTATCTACTTCACAGAGGGCTGGTAATGATTAACGGAGATAACTTCTGTACCATGTTTATCCAATGTTTGGCACATAGCAATTATTCTATAAGTATTAGCTATTATTATCTACTGGAAACGTTTTATGTGCCCCACAGTTCTAGACACTTCATTTATTCCTCAGAATAACTAATGGAATAGTCTCATCCTCATTTTAGTTTTCTGAGGCTCAACAGGATTATGTCTCATACGCAAGGCTATTCAGCTCCTAAAGATAACGAAAATAAAATTCAAACAAAACATAATAGACTGAAAGGACCACGCCCTTTTTATGTAATACTATATTACCCCAACCTCCATTATCATAAATGTTAACTAAGTAAACTTTACTTTCTCAACTAAGTGACTTTTCCTAGTTCAATATTCCCTTCCCCCTCTGCCCCTAAGGGATTTAGAATGAATCCTCCTGCTTAGGGTTCTTAGGCCACCTGGGTTTAAAACAAACTTTGTAACACATCTTTACACCTGAACATATCTCCCTTAGTCTATATTTTGAGTTCCGATATAAAACAGATGAACCTACAGCCATTCTGCACGTTGGGGCTCTAGACCGAGTGTCTTCGAATTGCAGCAGCACCTAAAGGCTTTCCCTTCATACTTTTCTTTACACATAATCTTACAAACTACATGCTGACAAATATAAGCCCTCTCAATACTATCTTTAATTTTTTGAGATGGAGTCTCACTCTTTTTGCCCAGGCCAGAATGCAGCGGCATAATCTCAGCTCACTGCAACCTCCACCTCCAGGGTTCAAGTGATTCTCCTGCCTCAGCCTCCCAAGTAGCTGGGATTACAGATACGCACTATCACGCCTGCCTAATTTTTGTATATTTAGTAGAGACAAGGTTTCACCATGTTGGCCAGGCTGGTCTCGAACACCCGACCTCAAGTGATTTGCCAGCCCTGGCCTCCCAAAGTGCTGGGATTACAGGTGACAGCCACCACACTTGGCCTTTTTTTTTTTTTTTCTTTTTTTTTCTTTTTTTCCCTGAGACAGGGTCTCACTCTGTCACTCAGGCTGGAGTACAGTGGTGTGATTACAGCTCACTGGAGCCTCAACCCCTGGGGCTCAAGTAATCCTGCCACCTCAGTCTTCTGAGTAGCTAGGACCACAGGTACACGCCACCATGCCCTGCTAATTTTTGTATTTTTTGTAGAGATGGGGTTTCACCATGTTGCCCTGGCTGGTCTCCCAACTCCTGAGCTCATGCCGTCTCTCAAAGTGTCAGGATTCTAGGCATGAGCCACCACGCCAGGCAATAGTATGATTATTAATTAATGTTGCTGATTGTTCCTGTGGTTGAATGTGTCCCCCAGTAAGTATGTGTTGGAAATTTAATCTCCAATGCAACAGTGTTGAGAGGTGGGATGCCTGAGGGGTGATTAGGCCACGAAGACTCCGCCCACATGAATAGATTAAAGTAAATTTTAAAAGGGCTTGAGACTGCAAATTTGATATCTTGCTCTCTAGTCCTTTACCACTGAACGAGGCAACAAGAAGGCCCTTGTGAGATGCCAGCACCTTCATAGTGGACTTCCCAGCCTTCAGAAATGTGAGAAATAAGTTTCTTTTATCAATTACCCAGTCTCAGTATTCTGTTACAGCAACACAAAATGGATTGAGACAGTTGACTCAAACATTAGTAATTCTAACTGTACATTTGAGGATATGAAACAGTACGTAAGTCTGGCTTAAGCAAAAAGTAATATGACATCTTGTCTCAGACTACCCATTATTACAGCTGAAATACCTGTACAGCATGTCGGTCTGAACCACTGTAGACAGAGATCTGTGGCTGCTGCATTCGAGAGGAGGAAGTGGTGATGGTGGTGGTGGTGGTACTGCTGGTTGTGGTTGACACAGATGTTCCAGGGTTTGGTTCACTATCCATAACTGTACTATGGTCCTTAAATCTGGCAGGTCACACAAAGGGTTTGTATCGGTAAAAGCATTCTCTTACGAGCTTTAAAGAATATTCATTTCAAAGAAATAATCAGCAGTAATCTAAATTGCTAGGAAAGCCCTCATAAAATAGAGCCAGCATATAGTCACTATAAGCACTTACAAGAGAAAATACTTCACATATATGGAGCAAATTTAATAGTTAATACCTACTACATTTGAATTCAAATGATTCAGAATATGTAACGCAGATAAAGCATAGCTGAAAGTTTATCTTTGCATTACAGAAAGTTTTTTTTATAAACCAAAACAGGTGATGAGAGAATACTAAACTACCTAGGAAAATAAAAATGTAAGCAGTGTCAGAGTATTTTAAAACATTTCTTTACATTCTTTTGATCACACTAATTACAAAGTAAAGTCATTCTTACACATTAGAACAGAATGCCTAAGGACTCATGTTAACTAGCTTAGTTTCGTTTACCATATATACTTTGCTTAAAAAATAAGTTCTTTTTAAAAAAAAGTTAAAAAGTGCCAGGTGCAGTGGCTCATGCCTGTAACCCCAGCACTTTGGGAGGCCGAGGCAGGAGGATCACCTGAGGTCAGGAGTTCAGGTCCAGCCTGACCAACATGGTGAAACCCCCATCTCTACAAAAAATACAAAACTTAGCCGGGTGTAGTGGCAGGCACGTGTACTCCCAGCTACTTGGGAGGCTGAGGCAGGAGAATCACTTGAACCTGGGAGGTAGAGGTTGCAGTGAGCCGAGATCATGCCATTTCACTCCAGCCTGGGTGACAGACCAAGACTTTGTCTCAAAAAAAAAAAAAAAAAAAAGTTAAAAAGTAGTTTTTTTTTAAAACTCACGCTGGCTTTTCCCCTAGTCAGTCAACAATACTGTCCTTACTCCTTCTAATAACTGAGTTATACTTACAAGCAAATTTCTGTAAGAACACAGAGAAGCAGTTAACAGCAACTTCTCACATCCTTACAAAATCTTTTTCACAAAGAATTACTCCAGATTTTGAAAATATAAATTATGTCACTTCCTCATGCATGGACAGTAAAATACACTTTTATGCCAGACTTTCAAATCTTTTCCCTCCAATATTATAATCTTACATTCACTTGTGGTACAAAATTCCACTAAATACAGAATCTGTATTTGAATAAATTCAAGCTTTTTTTTTTTTTTTTTTTTTTTGAGACAGAGTCTTGCTCCTAGCCAGGCACCAGGCTGGAGTGCAGTGGCACAATCTCGGCTCACTGCAACCTCCGCCTCCTGGGTTCAAGCAATTCTCCTGCCTCAGCCTCCTGAGCAGCTGGGACTACAGGCGTGCTCCACCACACCCAGCTAAATTTTGTATTTTTAGTAGAGACAGGGTTTCACCATGTTGGCCAGGATGGTCTTGATCTCTTGACCTCATGATCTGCCCGACTCCGCCTCCCGAAATGCTGTGATTACAGGCGTGAACCACCGCACCCGGCCAAATTCAAGCATTTTAAGTCAATTCTAAGGATCTCCATATTGTTAGAAACCAGAACAGCAGTTATTTTTGTCGGGTCAGAAATGTATCTCAAAGGTGAAAAGCACACAAAAGATTATACTGGTTTTATCTCCCTTTTCTTATCTTCCCCTCCCTTTTCTTTTCTTCTGAGAAACTAAATCCCACCTAACCCACATTAGCAGCACTGACAAAAATGCAACAAGAACACCTTCTATTCCGTGGAAACAAGAAATGACTTTGGCACTAATTGGTACACATATACTACTCCCATAGCGTTGCTTTTTAAAGTACAAATTTTCTTTGTTCTATATTATGTATGTAAACAGTATTTATATTCTCTGAAGAACCAAATGTAAAAAAAAAAAGAAGAAAATTTTGAAAAAACCCATTTAGTAAGAGGAAAAGTGGGGGCCTGGAGTGGTGGTTCATACCTGTCATCCTACCACTTTGGGAGGCCAAAGCAAGAGGACTGCTTGAGCTTAGGAGTTCAAGGCCAGCCTGGGCAACACAGGGAAAGCTTGTCTCTACAAATAAAAAGTAGAAAATTAGGCCTGGTGGTGCAGGCCTGTGGCCCCAGCAACCTGGGAGGCCAAAGTGAGAAAATCGCTTGAGCCCAGGAGGTCCAGGCTGCCTGCGCTACCATCGTGCCACTGCACTCCAGCCTGGGCGACAGTGAGACCATGCCACAAATAAAGAAATTAAGATGAAAAGTGAAAGGAAAACCGTTAGGAAGAAAGCTGACTCCTCACTTACTTTTTTGGATTAGTTAATAATGCATACATTTTTATGCTTTTTTTTTTTTTTTTTTCAAACTGCCTTCCAATCATCAAATCACAGCATCAAATAACTGTTCAACATTATAAAGTATTAGCGGTAAATTGTTTACCAAACTGCTGCCTGTCATAATACTACCGTATCATGTACCAGTGACATGCAAAAGGCCAGCTTAGACTCTGGTCTTTCTAAAGTGTTAATCTGCTCAATCATGCCCTCCAATCCAAACAGTATGGTAAACAGTTCTAACTACTAACCAAAAATGGTCACAGAGAATCCAAATTCTAGGCATAAGTCTAAACATCGGTGAGTGGAACTGGCCAAACCATCGCACTGCATTTCGAGGCCTGGCACAAAAGAACAATTTTGGTAACTCCACCGTCTTTGGGCATACTAATACCTAAACACAAAATACAGCCCTCAGTTCTGGTGCACAAGAGGCCTACCCAGGAAACAGTAAGTTCTTGAGTCGCTAAGCATACCGTCACACCGACACACAAGAATGTGGCCCGCTTGTGAGGCAGCAACGCTGCAGCCAGAAACTCGAGGGAAAGGTCTTCCTTTCAGGGTGTTTTCAGCCTCACCAGACCTGCAGCAGCCCCCGCCGCTCTCAGGCCCACGCTGGCACACCTCCTGCAAGCCTCCGGCACGAGGGCGGCGAGCAGCCCCACGTCTCGGGTTCTCCCGCTGAGAAGTGGGGTGGCGCCGGGGCGGGAGACGAAGGCGAAGGAGGCCTGGCAGTGCCCGCCCTACCGTACCCAGCCTCGGCGGGCCCCCGCGCAGGCAGCCGTAACAAGGCTGCCCGCGGGGCCCACTTGCAGGAATGACAGCGCCTGAGGAGCCCACTCGGGCTCGTTCCCCGGAAAACCCCAGCTGCCGGGGCCCCAAGAGTGACCCTGCGCGCAGGGCCGCGCAGATCCGGGACCTAACGGCAGAACGGGCGCTTCTGCCTGGAGGGTAACTGGACCCTTGGAGTTCGCCTCCGCCCCCCGACACGGGCTGAACAGGCTCCTCCACGGTAAGACGGGTCCCGAGTCTCTCTTTCCCCACACTGCCCGCGAAAGAGCCCTGAACTTTCCCCTGGGGGACGTGTCGCTGCCCCAACTCGCCCCCCCTAATTACGACATCAGTCACCATCAAGTCACTCACTCCGCTTCCGCCATCTTCTCTCCTCCATCACTAATGTGGGCTGCGCATGCGCCCCCCCAGCGGCAGGCGAAGGGGCAGACGGAGGGGCGGGGTCGACACAGCCCGCGGCGCCCGAGGTCACGTGGGCTTCCAATCGCCCACGCCCACCTCTGGAATTGCTGTCTCTGGAACACCTGATTTCAGAACACTTTCAGTGACCAGATTTCCCCAACTTAGATACCAGTGTCTCCTCACCAACCCCTCGCTTTCTCTTGTCCAGGATCTTATTCCTCTTGGGGAGGGGTCTGTAATAAAGAAATAAAAAGTTCTTAGATTGTTAAAAATTTTTTTTTTGAGACGGAGTTTCGCTCTTGTTACCCAGGCTGGAGTGCAATGGCGCGATCTCGGCTCACCGCAACCTCCGCCTCCTGGGTTCAGGCAATTCTCCTGCCTCAGCCTCCTGAGTAGCTGGGATTACAGGCACGCACCACCATGCCCAGCTAATTTTTTGTATTTTTAGTAGAGACAGGGTTTCACCATGTTGACCAGGATGGTCTCGATCTCTTGACCTCATGATCCACCCGCCTCGGCTTCCCAAAGTGCTGGGATTACAGGCTTGAGCCACCGCGCCCGGCAAAATTTTTTAAATATCCATGGGCTCGGTGGCTCACCTGTAATTCCAGCACTTTGGGAGGGCGAGGAGGATCTCTTGACGCGTGGAGTTCAGGACCAGCCTGGACAACAAAGCGAGACCCTGACTCTACCAAAAAAATAACAATAATAAAAAATGTGGGCCACGCACAATGGCTTACGCCTGTAATCCCAGCACTTTAGGAGGCCGAGGCGGGTGGGGGGGGTCGAGGGGGGGTCGGGGGGGTGGGGGGGATCACCTGAGGTCAGGAGTTCGAGACCAGCCTGGCCAACATGGTGAAACCCCATCTTTACTAAAAATATAAAAATTAGCTGGGCGTGGTGGTGTGCGACTGTAATCTCAGCTACTCGGGAGGCTGAGGCTGGAGAATCGCTTGAACCCGGGAGGCGGAGGTTGCAGTGAGCTGAGATCACACTACTGCTCTTCCAGCCTGGGCCACACAGCAAGACTCTGTCTCCAAAAAAAAAAAAAAAAAAATTTTTTTTTTTTAAAATATCTAAAACCTACCAAAGGCCATGCAAACTGCAGAGTGGTTTCAAAGAAAACACCCACAAGGATTAGAGGCTGAGGTCTCAGCAGGAAAGGAAATTCAGTGCTGGCTGCAGGGCTTGTTGCCTAGAAGCTTTGGAGATTGAGGGACCCAACCCCTCTCTCCAGCTCAAAGATAGTGTTCCGCAGCCAGTGAATGAGTAGTTAAGGAATCATCCTGACTACCCTAGGCATAGCATTCATGTCTCCAATATGAATTTGCTGAGCACTCAGTAGGAATTGCAAAGTTGAATACCACAGGGAGCAAGCAGGAATGGCCACCAGTTTGCAGGTGGGGCCTGCTAAATGCCAACAACTCAGGTGTGTGAGACAAACATATAATTTTTATTAAAATAATAAATGTAAATATAAATATGAAATAATTAAATTCTTGTTTAACTGAGGAAAAAAAAGAAAAAAATGAAATAATAAAGATGAGTTCCTATCTTTCAAGAAGTAGTGGAGTGGGTTTTATACACATTTGCATACAATATAAGTGTTCTGAAGGCCAGGGGCGGTGGCTCACTCTTGTAATCCCAGCACTTTGGGAAGTTGAGTCTGAAGGATTGCTTGAGCTGGGGAGTTTGAGACCAGCCTGGGCAACATGGGGAAACTCCAGCTCTACAAAAAATACAAAAATTAACTGGATGTCATGGCGCACACCTGTGGTCCTAGCTACTCAGTAGGCTGAGGTGGGCGAATCACTTGAGCCCAGGAGGTCAAGACTACAGTGAGCAGTGACCGTGCCACTATACTCCAGCCTGAGCAAAAAAGCAAAGTTTTGTCTCAAAAAAAAAAAAAAAAATGCTCTGAAACAGATCAATCTATTAAGTGCTCTGAAAACTTTAAAGTTCAAGGTGTATAATAAATCTTTACCACCCTTTACAAAAAAAAAAAGCATACAAAAACCATAAACGTCTCGTTTTGCATTTTGTGAGATGATGGAGTCACAATAAATTCAAGAACTGAGAACGCAGTATTGATATAAATCCATCTTAAAGTGTAATATGGGCCAGGCTCATGCCTGTAATCCCGGCACTTTGAGAGGATGAGGCCGGCAGATCACAAGGTCAGGAGTTTGAGACCAGCCTGACCAACACAGTGAAACCTTGTCTCTATTTAAAAAAAAAATAAAAAGTGTAATATGGTCTAATGAAAAGTATACTTAATCTTAGAAATCCTGTATTCCAGGATGTGCCTAAGGAAGGGAAAAGAACACTTCCTATCTATGTGAGCTTAAATTGTCCATTTGCCTCCTTTTCCCATCTGATAACATCTTTTTTTACCTTGTCTCCCTAATGGCAGTACTATCTACCTCAACTCCTAGAATTCATTGAGAAATTCTTCTTTAAAAAGTCCCTGTAGGCCAGGCAGGGAGGCTTACTCCTGTTACCCCAGCACTTTGGCGGGCCGAGGTGGGCAGTTAACCTGAGGTTAGGAGGTCAAGACCAGCCCAGCTAACATGATGAAACCCTGTCTCTACTAAAAATACAAGAATTAGCCAAGTGTAGCGGCACCTGCCTGTAATCCCAGCTGCTTGGGAGGTTGAGGCAGAAGAATTGCCTGAACCTGGGAGATGGAGGTTGCAGTGAGATTCTACCATTGCACTCCAGCCTGGGAAACAGAGTGAGACTCCATCTCAAAAAAAAAAAAAAAAAAGTCCTTGTAGATGCTTTAAAATATTACTGCTTTTTCTTTCTTTCTAGCTTGCTCATATATCGTTATTAAACTATTTTTTAATTGAAATGGAGTCTCGCTTTGCTGCCCAGACTGGAGCATAGTGGCGTAATCTCGATTCACTGCAACCACCACCTCCTGGGTTTAAGCGATTCTCGTGCCTCAGCCTTCCAAGTAGCTGCGTTTATAGGCGCTCACCACCATGTCTGGTTAATTATTTTATATTTTTAGCAGAGACGGGGTTTCACCATGTTGGCCAGGCTGGTCTTGAACTCTTGACATCAGGTGATCCTCTGGCCTTAGCCTCTCAAAGTGCTGGGATTACTGCTGGGGAGGCTTAAGCACAAGAATCGCTTAAACCCGGGAAGTGGAGGTTTCGGTGAGCAGAGATGGCACCACTGCACTCCAGCCTGGGCGACAAGAACAAAACGCCATCTCAAAAAAAAAAAATAACAAAAAAAAACTTTGAAGAATCAACTATACATTGATATTGCTGAAAGTATTTTGTTTAGAGAAACAAAAGTGGAGAAAGCACAGCCTTAGGCATAAACATGGAAAATGCATAAATCAAAGGTATATTTGAAATACATAGGCCAAAATTGTTCTTTTTAATCCCCCTTTCGCTTAAATATCTAGGTCCTATATCCCTAATGTTACCTCGAACAGACTGCTTTTTAAAATGAGACATATGTTGGGTACAATCAGAAGAGTATTGTTTGTTTGTTTGTTTGTCTAGCCCTGTCACCTAGACTGTCACCTAGGCTGGATCTTGGCTCACTAGAACCTCCACCTCCCAGGTTTAAGCAATTCTCTGCCTCAGCCTCCCTAGTAGCTGGGATTATAGGTGCACGCCACCATGCCTGACTAATTTTTTTATTTTTAATAGAGATGGAGTTTCACCATATTTGCCAGGCTGATCTTGAACTCCTGACCTCGTGATCCACTGGCCTCGGCCTCCCAAAGTGTTGGGATTACAGGCATGAGCCATCGCACCCAGCCAGAATAATATTGTTTTTTAGAAACATTTCAAAGCTCACTTTGTTACAACAAAGCTAAGATTTGTATTGCCTTTTATAAAGTGCGAAGGATTTCCATAAGACTCATTTGTTGATCTTCATAATAACTCTGTGGTATAATTATCATGATTCCCATTTAGCATAGAAGTATAGTGAGGCTCAAGGTAATTAAGTGCCTCTGTTGACTGCTAGCATGTACCAGAAATGGAGTTCTACTTTAAGGTCGCCATCTCCAAAGCCAAGTTTTCTTCACTACATCATTCAGCAAGCCACTATGCAAAACATTAAAGGGGACAAAGTATGATGAAAGTCTATTCTCAAGAAACTTACCAGCCAGGCCTGGTGGCTCATGCCAGTAATCCCAGCACTTTGGGAGGCCGAGGCAGGGGGATCACCTGAGGTCAGGAGTTCGAGACCAGCCTGGCCAACATGGTGAAACCCCATCTCTGCAAAAATACAAAAATTAGCTAGGCATGATAGTGGGTGCCTGTAATCCCAGCTACTTGGGAGGCTGAGGCAGGAGAATCCCTTGAACCCAGGAGGTGGAGGTTGCAGTGGGCCGAGATCACACAATTGCACTCCAACCTGGGTGACAAAGCGAGACTCCGTCTCAAAAAAAAAAGAGAAACTTATCATTAATTGTCTTATCAAACTGAAGAAGGAATTTTACCTCTATCATTTCCTAGGGAAAAAATGTACATAGTACTCTAGCAGGTTGAACTTTCTCAAATTTTGCAGGAACTTTTACCTTGGAAAAGTACAAAGATCCTATTTTATTTTAGAAAAACCCCTCTAGCTTTGTGAAGGATGGACTGGAGGAAAGTGTAACTGGAAAGAGGATTAGTTGGGAAACTGTGCATTAATCCTTACAGAAATGATAAGGGTTAGGGGAATGAAAGGGAAGGTTAAATTAAACTTTTAGTTCCTTAGTTACATAGTCACATTTCAGGTGCTCAATAGGCACATACGGCTAGTGGCTGCAATATTGGACAATACGGAACATTTCCATCATCACAAATAGTTTTTTTTTTTTTTTTTTTTTTTTTTTTTTCCTGGAGAAAGGCAAAGGCCTTTATTTCTTCCTGCCTCTCCATGGGCAGCCTCCGCCCTGAGGTCCACTGGCCCACCACCCCGGGTGCTCAGTTTCTGCCAACGTCGGCCAGCAAGTCCTTGTGGTACCCCTGAGGCAGCCTGTAGTAGACTCGGGTCCTGTCCACAGCCCTGGCTGCCAGCAGCGCTGCCCTCACAGAGGCATAGTCGCCCCCAGATGGGCTGTGACGGTGGCCCGGGGGGAAGAGGCCAGCAGCCTGGCTACGGCTCCAGCAGTGCTGTGGCCCAGTGGCGTGGCCGGCATCTGGAAGGACACAGGTTGCCAGAGCTCCTGGCACAGCTCTAGCATATCTGTGAGCAGATGTTCCCTGTAGCCGCTGTCCAGCACCTCCTCAGGCCAGCCTGGTGCCACAGTCACGTGGGGGAAGACCTCCGCCACAGCTGTAAGTAGCTCTCTGCCAGTCACATAGCCAGGGACCAAAAAACTCCCGTGGGAGATTTTGGCCCCCACCCACACAGGCGAATGCAAGAGGCCAAGGCTGGAGAGGCGTGCCAGCAAGGCCAGGGATGGCCGGAGAGCTGCAGGCTCCTCTATCTGCAAATGGACGCCCCAGTGTCGGGGATGTGTGGCCAGCTGCTGCAGGCAGGACTCCAGCGTCAGGTTGCTGCCACTTGGAGCACGAACAATGGGCACGAGGTTCTCAGCCACAGTTCCCTCGAGACGAGTGTTCAGCAGGATCATGCCTTCTGTGTCTGGGAGGGTCACCGTCGCTGTTTTACCGCTGCCCTGGACGTCGGGAACCAGCCACTCCATGTTCAGCCCATCACCCCCCGGCAGCTGGAGAAAAGGGATCAGGCTGCCCCCCGTATAGTACATTCGTTTCCGTGTGGCGTTCAAGGCCAGCTGCTTGAACTGCGACAGGAAAGGCTCAAAGATGTCGTAGTAGACTTGGTGGACAGCAGTGTTGTCCCGGACGTAGACCAGGTTCTCCACCAACATGGGGTCCGAGGCAGCTTGCCACAGCGTCAGGCTATACCTCTCAGATTGGCTTAGCAGCCAGCTGAAGTGGGGCCAGGCGGCCCGTACCATGGAAGACCGCACAGGGAAGGTGACCCTCTGGGGTACCACTCCCACCAGCTCGTGCATCTTCTCCACCATGGCTCGGGTGTACGTCCTGTTTGGGAACATGGTCAGGTAGAGAGTGGTCCAGCCTGGAGACAGGGTGACCTTGGGATACTTCTCCTGGACCAGGGCCAGGAACTGTGTGGCATTGACCTCAAGTGAGATGGGCACGTTGGGGCCCTTTAAGATGTCAGCGTTGATCCACACGGGCCGCTGGACTTTGCCTTCCTCTGTCAGCCGCTGCAGGAGGTCCAGGGAGGGGCCCACAGCCTTGATGTTCTTGAAGTCCAGTTTGATGCCCTTCTGGGAAGAGCCCAGCACCGCGTCCAGCCACTGCTCCAGTGTGTTGTCGCTGTAGATAGCCGGGGGGTGTGCCATGATGGGAACTCCTGTCTCGTTGGCTGTGCCGAGCCCTTCTACGTTGACGTCAGCCTCCAGGACCGTGACGTTGCTGTTCAAGGCAGCTGCCATGGCTTTCTTGCTGTTGGCTGTGTGGTACCAGGTGACCTCCAGGGCATCTCGGCGGCTGATCTGGCCCAGGCTCAGCAGGTAGTCCAGCATGTCGGCATCGGGGCTACAGGCCTCCAGCTCACAGCCTGGCTGCCGCAGGGTGATGGCAAGGACTATGGCGGCAATGACCACCACAGACACACAGGTAATGCCTGCAAACACCCACTTGCCCCGATTCTTTGATAAGTGCTCCCTGCAGGCCATGACGGCGCTCTCTGGGGAATGTCCCCAACTCCAGGTGGGCCAGAGTCCCCAAGGCTCCCTGCAGCTGGGATCCTGTCCAAATAGTTCTATTGAACAGCACTGGTCTCTTAATTAGGGGTTACCAAACAATAGCCCACAGACTAAGTCTAGCCTGCAATTTGTTTTTTACAGCCTGCAAGCTAAGAATGGATTTTCACATTTTCTAATAATCAAAAAAGAAATCAAAAGAATCATATGTTGTGACACCTGAAAATTACATGAAATTTATGGATTTCAGTGTCCATAAATACGGTATTATTGGAACACAGCCACACTAATTGTTTTATGTATTATCTGTGGTTGCTTTTATGCTGTAAGGGCAGAGTTGAATAGCTGTGACAGACACCATGATGGCCAACAAAGTGTAACATATTTACTATCTAGCTTTTTTTTTTTTTTTTTTTTGAGACCAGGTATCAGGATGCCCAGGCTGGAATGCAGTGGCGCGATCGCAGCCCACTACAACCTCTGCCTCCTGGGTTCAAGCGATTCTCCTGCCTCAGCTTCCCAAGTAGCTGGGACTACAGGTATAAGTAGTCACGCCCAGCTAATTTTTGTATTTTTTGTAGAGACAGGGTTTCGCCATGTTGGTCAGGCTGGTCGTGACTCCTGACATCAGGTGATCTGCCCACCTTGGCCTCCCAAAGTGCTGGGATTACAGGCATAGGCCACTGCACCTGGCCCTGTCTAGCCTTTTAGAGAAAAAGTTTTCGAACCACTATTCTACATCACTGACCACCCTGCACTGGGTTCTTTCAGAGTAGTTAATAGAGCACACACACTGTTGTATGCCTCCACTGGACCACAGTTGCTCTTATGGATCCAATGTGATGAGATGAAAGACCAGCAGACCTAGATTTAAATGCTGAGCTCACTCCTTTACCAAATGAGCCACCTTGGGTAAATAATTTAATTACTTCAAGTTGTTTTTTTGTTTTGTTTTGTTTTTTCGAGATGGAGTCTCACTCTGTCACCCAGGCTGGAGTGCAGTGGCATGATCTCGGCTCACTGCAACCTCTGCCTCCTGGGTTCAAGCAATTCTCCTGTCTCAGCCCCAGGAGTAGCTGGGAATACTTAAAAACAAAAGAGTAGCTGGCAGGAATAGCCGCCTGCCAGCACACCCAGCTAATTTCTGTATTTTTAGTAGAGACAGATTTCACCTTGTTGGTCAGGTTGGTCTCAAACTCCTGACCTCAGGTGATCTACCTGCCTCAGCCTCCCAAAGTGTTGGGATTATAGGTGTGAGCCACCACACCTGGCCCAAGTTTTGTATTACAATGTAAAGAAAAAAGAGGATGATAATACATCACACGATTGTTGTAAAGTCTTTTTTTTCTTTTCACAACATGTTAAAGTACAAACCATGATTGTTGTAAAGTCTTAAAAAGTCTAATGTAAAGTCTAAAAAGTCCCCTTTTTCTTTTTTTCATTTAATTTTTTTTTTAGAGACAGAATCTTGCTATGTTGCCCAGGCTGGCTGGAGTGTAGTGGTTCCTCATAGGCATCAGCAGAGCTCAGTGTAGCCTTGAAATCCTGGGACTCAAGTAACCTTCCTGCCTCAGCCTCCCAAATAGCTGGAACTACAAGCACTCACCACCATGCACCTTTTTTCTCTTTTTAACTTTTTATTAAGGTCTTCCTTCATCTAGATTTGCTCAATAAATACGATTGAATATGCGTAGTACTCAATCAGCTTTAAATGCTTGTTGAGAGAATGAAGACTTGAATATTTGGTTGAATAAGACAAAATTTCAGTATAGCCTATAAATTTGAATGACACAGTAGACTTGCTTTCTCTTTCATACTCTAAAATCAAATGCTTTTTTTTTTTTTTTTTTTTGAGACAGAGTCTCACTCTGTCACCCAGGCTGGAGTGCAGTGGCCCAATCTTGTCCTTGGCTCACTGCAACCTCCGCCTCCCAGGTTTAAGCAATTATTTTGCCTTAGCCTCCCGAGTAGCTGGGATTACAGGCGAGCACCACCACACCTGGCTAATTTTTATATTTTTGGTAGAGATGGGGTTTCACCATATTGGCCAGGCTGGTCTCAAACTCCTGACCTCAAGCCATCCGCCCGCCTCACCCTCCCAAAGTCCTGTGATTGCAGGTATGAGCTACTGCGACTGGACATAAAGCAAATTTTATTGAAACTGAAAACATTCCCTAGTCATACTACCTCTCACCTATTTTTGCAGTAGATCAGCATGTTAATCATATGCTTATCAGTCTTATCTTCCTTTGTATACCAGTGGGCGGCACCGTACACAGTTGGCTATATCTCCTTCGGTGCTGAAGAGTGCAAACATACAGCATTAAAGTTGGAAGGGACTTTTGAATTGATGTGACCCATGCTGAGGAAGAATCCATGGCAAAAGCAGAATCGGAACTCTGACTTCCTATCCTCCCATTCCAGAATTTTTTGCTGAGTGCCACCAGGCCTCACCATAAGTGTGTTGGTGCTCAATAAACACTTGAAGTTGCTGTACTCTCTCATTTCCATTCTGCTTTTATGCTTAGTACTATCTGCTTAGCATTGTGGCAGCTTAGAAGCACTGTTGTAAAGCAGGGCTTTAGAATCAGACAAACTAAGACTTGAATCCTGACTCTACCATACATTAGCTCTGTGACCTCCTACAATCCTATCAGCTCCACCTTCAAAATATAACCGTGTCTCTGGCCACACCACCGTAAACATGCACGAATTCCTCAAAACACAAACAAATCTGACAGTACTTACCACCTCCACCATTATCAGCCTGAGCCAAGACACAATTTCTTTATTGGACCACAGCCAAAGGCTTCCGAAAGGTCACCCGGCTTCTGTTCTTGTTCCTCTACAGTCTATTGTGCATACAGTACCTTAAGGAAGAAATGTAAACCAGACAGTGTCACTGTTCTCTCAAATGCCCCAGTGGCTTCCTGTCTCACCAATATGGCCCTGCATGATTTTCCCTTGCTCTGTTGGCTGCAGCCACACTGGCCTCCTTATTTCCCTTCTTAGCACTTGCTGCTTCCCCAGCCAGGAATGCCTTTCACACTGACCTCACTTCCTCATTCCATCCAGACCTCTGTTCAAACACCTCAGAGAGCGCTCCTTGACCACCCAACCCAATTTGGCCCTCTCATCACTTTTCTTCCCTTATCCCACTAACTTTTCTTCATAGCACTTCAATGCAACAGACATTATGCACATACATATTTATTTATTTACTATTCCCACCAACCTCCAGGTTGTAAGCTCCACATTTTGCTGACTGTAATATTCCTAGTTCTTGAAACATTAATTGCTCAGCCAGGCGCCGTGGCTCACGCCTGTATTCCTAGCACTTTGGGAGGCCGAGGCAGGCAGATCACTAAGGTCAGGAATTTGAGACCAGCCTGGCCAACATGGTGAAACCCTGTCTCTACTAAAATACAAAAATTAGTCAGGTGTGCGCCTGTAGTCCTAGCTACTCGGGAGGCCGAAACAGGAGAACTGCTTGAACTTAGGAGGCATAGACAGCAGTGAGCTGAGTTCGTGCCACTGCACTCTAGCCTGGGCAACAGACAGAGACTGTCTCAAGGGTCTCAGCAGAAACCTTGCAAGCCAGAAGGAATTGGGATCCTATCTTCAGCCTCCTTAAACTGAATAATTGTCAGTCCAAAAAAAAAATTTTTTTTTTGAGACAGAGTCTTGCTCTGTAGCACAGGCTGGAGTGCAGTGGCATGATCTCGACGGACTGTAACCTCCGCCTCCTGGGTTCAAGTGATTCTCTTGCCTCAGCCTCCTGTGTAGCTGGGATTATAGGCATGTGCCACCATGCCTGGCTAATTTTGTATTTTTAGTAGAGATGGGGTTTCACCATGTTGGTCAGGCTGGTCTCGAACTCCTGACCTCATGATCCACCCACCTTGGCCTCCCAAAGTGCTGGGATTACAGGTGTGAGCCACCACACCCAGCAAGATATTTTTTTTTCTTATTTATTTAATTATTTATTTATTTTGCTCACCTTCAACTGTCTTGATTGAGTTATAAAAATAGTAGCAAATCAAAAATTTTTTTTTTGAGGTGGAATCTTTCACTGTCGCCAGGGCTGGAGTGCAATGGCACAACCTCAGCTCACTGCAACGCCTGCCTCCCGGGTTCATGCAATCCTCCTGCCTCAGCCTCCCATTTAGCTGTGATTCGAGGCACACACCACAGCACCCAGCTAAGTTTTTGTATTTTTAGTAGAGACACGCCACTATGTTGGCCAGACTGGTCTCAAACTCCTGACCTCATGATCCACCCACCTCAGCCTCCCAAAGTGCTGAGATTAAAGTTGTGAGTCACTGCGCCAGGCAAGAATTTTCTTTTTAAGACAGAGTCTCACTCTGTTGCCCAGGCTGGAGTGCAATGACATGATCATGGCTCACTGCAGCCTCAACCTCCCCCCGACTCAAGTAATCCTCCTACCTCACCCTCCTGAGTAACTAAGACTACAGACACATGTCACCACGCCTGGCTAATTTTTGTATTTTTTGTACAGATGGGGCTTCGCCATGTTGCCCAGGCTTGTCTCAAACTCCTGAGCTCAACCCATCTGCCCATCTTGGCCCTGCAAAGTGCTAGGATTACAAGCATGAGCCGCCATGCCCAACCTAGCCAAGAATTTTGTATGTAGCAAAACTAAGTTTCATAAATAAAGAAAAAATAAAATCATTTCCAGACAAACAAATATTTAGGGAATTTGTCACCACCAGACCAGCCCAATAAGAAATGCTAAAAGGAGTTCTAAATCCTGAAACAAAAGGTTCATATGCACTAGAGTAGAACCTCTTGATGGCATAAAACTCATGGGGCATATAAAACAATAACACAATGAATAAAATAAAGTATCTAGGTAACAAATAACATGATGGCTGGAACAGTACCTCACATCTCAATTTTTTTTTTGAGATGGAGTCTCGCTCTGTCACCAGGTTGGAGTGCATTGGCACAATCTCGGCTCACAGCAACCTCTGCCTCCCTTGTTCAAGTAATTCTCTACGTCAGCCTCCTGAGTAGCTGGGATTACAGGAGTCTCCCACCACACCCAGCTAATTTTTGTATTTTTGGTAGACACAGGGTTTCACCATGTTGGCCAGGATGGTCTCGATCTCTTGACCTTGTGATCTTCCCATCTCTACCTCCCAAAGTGTTGGGATTACAGGCGTGAGCCAGCATGCTCAGCCTTTTATTTTTTATTCTTTTTATTTTTATTTATTCATTTTTTTTGAGACAGAGTCTTTCTCTGTCACCCAGACTGGAGTGCAGTAGTGCAATCTCAGCTCACTGTAACCTCCACCTCCTGGGCTCAAGTGCTCTTCCTACCTCAGCCTCCTGAGTAGCTGGAACTATAGGTGCGCACCATCACATCCAGCTCATTTTGTGTGTGTGTTTATTTTTTTTATAGGGTTTTGCCACGTTGTCCAGACTGGTCTCAAATTCCTGGGCTCAAGCAATTTACCCACCTCAGCCTCCCAAAGTGCTAGGATTACAGGAGTGAGCCACCAGCACACCCAGCCTCAAATCTCAATATTAATGTTGAACGTAAATAGCCTAAATGATTCACTTAAAAGATACAGATTGGCAGAATGGGTTTAAAAATTGCAAACAAATATCTGCTGTCTTCAAAGGACTTGTATAACACTCAAAATAAAAGAGTGGATAAAGGTATTCCATGCAAATGAAAAACAAACGCAAGCAGGAGTAGCTATTCTTCTATCAGATAAGACAGACTCAAGCAAGGACACCCAGATGACACAGTTCACGCCTGCAACCTCAGCATTTTGGGAGGCTGAGGCAGGAGGATCCCTTGAACTCAGGAGTTCAATACCAGCCTAGGCAACACAGCAAGGCCTTGTCTCTACGAAAAAATTTTAAAATTAGCCTGCAGTGGTGATGCATGCCCACAATCCCAGCTACTGAGGAGGCTGAAGTGGGACAATCGCTTGAGTGTGGTAGATTCAGGCTGCAGTGAGCTGTGATCATGCCACTATACTCTAACCTGAACAAGAAAGCCAGACCCTGTCTCAACAAATAAATAAATAGCAACAACAGTTTAAAAAAAAAAAAAAAGACAAATAAGGTCATTATATAATGATAAAAGTATCAATCCAACAAAAAGATATTACAATCCTAAATTTATATGTACCAAACACGGGAGCTCTAAGATTCATAAAACATTTATACTACTAGACCTAAGAAATGAGGTAGACAACAACACAATAATAGTGGGGGACTTTAGCACTCCACTCACAGCGTAAGACAGATCATCGAGACAGAAAGTCAACAAAGAAAAATACAGACTTAAAACTACACTTTAGAACAAGTGGACCTAACAGATATTTATAGAACATTCTATCAGAGAACTGCAGAATTCTCTATCAGAGAACATTCTTCTCCTCAGCGTGTGGAACATGCTAAAGACAGACTATATGATAGGCCACAAAATAAGTCTCAGTAAATTTTTAAAAATTGAAATTATATCAATTATCTTCTCGGATCGCAGTGGAATAAAACTAGAAATCAACTACAAAAGAAACCCTGAAAACTACACAAATACATGGAAGTTAAACAGTCTGCTCCTGAATGATTTTGGGGTTAACAATAAAAATCAAGATGGAATTTAAAAAATTATCTGAGGTTTTCTAAGTGGCAAAGCATTCAAGAGGAAGAAAAGATAAAAAAAAAAGAAAAAAATTATCTGAGGTAAATGATAATAGTGATGCTAAGTTACCAAAACTTCTGAGTTAAGCAAAAGCAGTGCTAAGAGGAAAGCTTACAGCACTAAATGCCTACATCAAAATGTCACACCTCAAGGAGCTGGAGAAATAAGAACAAATTAAACCCAACGCTAGCTGAAGAAAAGAAATAACGAAGATCAGAGTAGAAATTGAAACAAAAATAAACAACAAAAAACATCAATGAAACAAAAATCTGGTTCTTTGAAAAGATAAACAAAATGTATAAACCGTTAGCTAGATTAATCAAGAAAAGAAGAGAGAAGATTCAAATAAATTCAATTGGAAATGAAACTGAAGACATGACAACCAATGCCACAGAAACACAAAAGATCATCCTGGACTGCTATAAACACCTCTGTACACACAAACTAGAAAATCTAGAGGAAACAGATACATTCCTGGAAACATACAACCAGTCTAGATTAAATCAGGAAGAAACAGAACCCCTGAACAGACCAATAACAAGCAGTGAGATTGAATCAGTAATTTTAAAATTGCCAGCCGGGTGCAGTGGCTATGCCTGTAATCCTAGCACTATGGGAAGCCAAAGTGGGTGACGCCCGAGCTCAGGAGTTTGAGACCAGACTGGGCAACATGGTGAAATGCCATCTCTACGAAAAATACAAAAAAATTAGCCAGGCATAGTGGCACATACCTGTGGTGCCAGCTACTTGGGAGGCTGAGGTGAAAGAATTCCTTGTGCCTGGAAGGTTGAGGTTAAAGTGAGCTGAGATCACACCACTGCA